AAACAGGCAATACCATGTAGGCTTTTACTCTGCAATACATCTCAGGTCTCTAAAGCAAGTAACCAAAGACAGCACCCAAAGACCCAAGCACCAGTTGGCAGAGTAGGAAGACAATGGGTTGGGAATGAAGGAGGCTCCGCCTCCTTGATGGTCTTGGCCTGGCAGTTCATTGCTCCTCCTGAGCTTAAGCCCTGCTCTAGACCAGACAGTTGGGGAGGTGAGGACGAGAAGCACTGGTCTGGGAGTGAGATCTTGTTTCCCACACAACTGCCACTAAAAGTGAACTCCAACAAGTCAGCCCCTCTGTTTCCTTCCTGTGCTGTAAAGGGACTGAAGAACAATTATTTGAGGTCCTAGAATCTCTGAACAGATTTCACTTCCTGTGCTTTTAATGTTTATCCCACTTCTCAGGGAGTTTTGTTAAGGATCAAATAAGGAAATAATGAAAGCATGTTGTATATCTTTTTTTCTTCCTTTTTTTAAAAAAAGATTTATTTATTTATTTATTTATTTATTTATTTATTTATTTATTTATTTATTTATAAAGCACTGGGTACAGTCAGAAGCACGGGAGGGCGAGAGAATTCACTACAGCCAGAGCAGGGAACAGAACAGTCAGACTGATGAAATACACTGCTGAGGGGAGCAGTGGGCGGCAGGAGAGATCTGTGCGCCATGTGGGACCCTCGCCCAGCGGCCGGGGATGGAACTGGCGCTGCAGAGGCTGCGGGCAGCTTTGTGGAACCCAGCGCTCAACCGCTGAGCCACTGGGGAGGCCCCATATTGTATATCTTTATACAAACCCAGATGCGGTTATTGTTTTATAGATTTCCGTCATTGTACTAAAAAAGTTTGGAAACAGTTTTGACATAAGTGTAACATGATCACTACATGGTGAGGTATTTATTGGATATAACTATAATTTAACCTAAGTTGTTAAAATTATATGTCCAAATTTTATTAAGGTATAACTGATAAAAAATTGCATTTATATAAAGCACTCAGGGAATATTTATAGTTTTAATTTTAGCAAAATTAGCTAATTTATCATTTTGTAATTATGACCTTAGATTAAAAGCTTAATAAGCAATTTTTAAAATAAGTAACTCATTAAGAGCTGTAGTCAGCTTTTTCCCCTCTCTAACCCATTCCTCACACAGACACCAGCTATATTTTTTAAAACAGAATTTATCCTATCATTTCTGTACTCATAGCTTTCATTAGCTCTATTTTTACTTAGAGAATCAAATGTGAATTACTTAGTATGGCACAACTTGTGACCCCAGTCTACCTTTGCAGATTCAGTTTATTTTAAATATATCTATCTCACCATCTCCTCTAAATAAACTACGATTCAGACCACTCCCTGTTCACATCAAGCTCTTACCTGCTACTTGACTTAGGGTGCCCTCTTGAATTCAAACCTGATAATGAGACCAATGATGAAGACAGAGGCAAGGTCAAAGAAGGTTTTGTAAGAGAGGATAAGGACTCTGGGGCTCATTCCAATTGTGTCAGAGAGCCACTTAAGAGTTTTTAGCAAGAAAATAACCTGACCTAACCTTTTAGCATGTTAAAAGACAAGGGTGGAAGCAGGGAATTGGAAGAGTGAGAAGGAATCAGGAATAGTTTCCAGGTTCACTTAAACAGCTGGTAGAGTTATAGGGAATACTGGGTTTGGAAAGAACCGGTTTGTAGATTGAAAGGTAAAGGTGGAAGGAAAAGGTTTGGAGCAAGAGTTCTATTTGGGCATGTGAAGTTTGAGAACTCTCTTAGCTGCCCTACCCCACTCTCATTTCCCAGTGATCCTTTAGAATTCACCGTATTGATATAATAGTTGCATGCTCACTTTTTTCTCCAGACTACAAACTACTTAAGGGCAAAGACTGTAATATTTAAACCCTCTGGAGAGGGTTTTAGACAAAGTTGTCATTAAAAACTATTTAAAATGAATAAAGGTATATTCTAGAAACTGAGGAGCAGAAACCAAAGAAGAAAGAAATAATTATTTTTCTAGTCATTTCCATTACTCACCCTGAATAAGGGCAGCAGAAGTTATAGAAGACCATAAATCCATCTAGAGTCCAGCTCTCCAACATATAAATTCACTTCTATATATCAAATCAATTGCTGACCTTATGCCTCTTAGAACAAGGGCTAATGGGCCTCTGTTAGTTTCTTTAATCCTATACCCAGTCAAGCATCTACAGATAAGACTTGAATATTTAGACAGATTTTCAGTGAGATTTTAATTTTTAAACATCCTATCTTCATTATATTTCAGATTTTAACAGATCATATATATATAGTAAAGAACACTTAACTATCCCTTTTTAACACTTTGAATATTTTTTAAATAATTTTACTTATTACTTTTTTAAAGATTTATTTACTTATACAAGAACTGGGGTACAGGCCAGTGTTGCAGGAGGGTAGGAGAATTCCCCAGAGACAGAGTGGGGATCAGAATAGGCAGACAGACTGAAGACACTGCTGAGGGGAGCAGCGGGGGAGGCAGTAGAGGTCTGCCCTGTCATGTAGGCATCTCCCCGGACGGCCAGGAATTGAACCCGCACCACAGAGGCTGTGGACAGCTTCACAGCGATGTGCTCAACCCACTGCGCCACTGGGGAGGCCCCAAAACAGTTTGAATAGTAATAGAATTACAGAATTTTTAAAATTGTATGGTTTTTCATTGTAGTAATGTTGGTTTACAATACTACATATGATTTAGGGGCACAGGGTCATACCTCTTCGGATGTATGTTAACACACCAGGCCCACCACCACAGCACCAATAATCCTCCACCAGTTCATTGTGAACCCTCCTGCTTCGTGCCCTCCCCACCCACTCTGGTGGCTCCAGTTTTGCAGTGAGACACAAATCCAGGCCTCTCATTTACTATAGGGATAAGAAAATTGTTGTCTAAATAAATTGCAGAAGATTACATAGTCATTTAAAAGTGAAACCAAGTACAGAAACTAGTTCACGCTTCCTAATGAAGATTCCCCCCACACACACACAAAGATTGGCTTAATGTAAAAAAATGAACTAATTAGGTAAAGTTCAATGGACTACACATCCTCATTTTATAATTTTATAATTATATAAGTGCTAACTCAATAAATTTTATAGGAAGCATATGCCTTAAAATGAAGTCAGGCATATTAATATCTAAAACAAAATCAAGTGAAGTAGGGTTACCATGTATCTTACAGCTTAATAATGACACTTGTAATAGTTCACTCGTGGAGGGATATACATGATACAAATACCCCCAAGTCAATGCCTATATGGCTACAGAAAACTAAAGATGAAAGGATCCAATCAATCTTCTGTATAATTATGAGGTTTAAAAGCATGCCTTTATCATATCCAGTTTTCCCTTTATTTTTTATCTTTAAGCTTTGTCTCAGTGGTAATCCTTCTCATTTCAAAAGCCTTCCAATCTATTCTCTGTGCTCTTCCCCTTTACAGGAAACACTTTTATATCTATTATTTACACTTGGTAAGTTAACAAATTGAAGATACCACTTGAATTATTTTTCAATTAATATACTATTAATTCAAGTGGACATTTACATTTTATGCCTATAATCCCCAAGTATAGAATGAAAGATTCATTCCCAGAAGAATTTTAGACCTCTGCAGAGAAAAAGATAGGAAAATACCATCCTTTCGCCCTCCCACTAAATGACAGGGCATTAAAGTAAACAAAGTATTTAGTTAAAGTCTAGAAAATAAGAGTCTAATGGCGTAGAAAATACTATGCCAAATATCTAGCTATGGTACAGACACTAAGAGTCTGAAAGTGTAGCACATGGTGCATCCTCTTAAGAATGACCACTATTGCTCCAACTTAAGGCAGATAATTGAAACTCTAAAAACAAAGTTTCCAAGGCTTGAGAAAACTGTCATAATGACTTGCAATTAGAACTCCAAGTATTTTCAAAGCTAGCAAACATATACTCATGGTTATACGCACGCTGTACTCACATAGTACCTTATGCTTACAAAGTATTTTTATACACACTATATGACTGAATTTCAACTATATATAAGATATATATAAAAATGTTTTCTATATAAAACATTTAAGTTTGTAATGAAGATTCTTAAATGTGCACATAATAAGAATAATAAAACACAGTCAGAACTAAACACAAGAGTTCTTAGACTAATCCAAGCATTATCCATTGTAATATGTAACAGAAACCAATATTATCATGCAGCAACATTAAAATGACTTGCATGTGTAAAATCTAAATACTTTCCAAGTAGGCAAGTAATACTGTCCCCCCAATTTCTAAGTAAATTATATTGATCTTTTAGAGCTCAAGTTCCTTCTTATTATTATTATTACTAGTCTCTTTGTCTAAGATAATTGTTATTTCAGTTGTCTTACTCATCACTAATGGACAGAAATTGTCATCTTTCAAGACCAAAAATCCATATTTCTCACCTAGTTACTTTCTCTTTGATATCCTTTGAAATTCTTATTTGAGAATTTAAAGCATTCGTCTAAAAATTTGCAATGTAGTTCAATTCAGCAATTCACGTGGGTTTTTGTAATGAACTTCTTTGTATATTTTATTAACTTGCCAACTTTGAAGAAACATGGTATGATTGACAAGTTGTATACCACTTCTGCTAAAGTACATTTTCCTTGAAATGATTTAATGAAATGGATTACTCATAATCTATGGCTCCTGTATCTAAAAGGGAAATTAAAGCAGATTTAACATTATGCATATTTTGTTATTTTTTAATTATTCTGCTGCTGAAAATTATTTCAATAAAATAAGGTTGAGAGTACCTACTATTGAAGTAACCAATTCTAAGTAACTTTTGATTTTAAAGGAAAAAAATGGATATAAATCAAGTGTAAAAAGTGACAATTATAAATGGTGTGAGCTATATTTCTGAAATAAATTACATTCATTAAGAAAAAAAGAACATCTGAACATTTAAAAGAATAGCCAAAGTAAGAAAGGGCTCACCAGTCTCAGTGAAACCAAAATGACGTAGAATCTGATGAGCGTCCAGCATGTTTGACTGTTTTAACTTAGTCTGTTGTGAAGAGACTGATGTTGAAGTAAGCAAGAGATTTTTGTTGACCTGTAATAGGAAAGGCAAATCAGAAACTAAAGTGTAATTTCCTGGGTTACTGATGCAAAAATGATGAGAAATATTTGCTCTCATGCAAACAAGGACACATGGCAGAATAAAGGAACGGAAATGAATTTGTATGTAGGTAGGTTGTAAATTCTACACTTGATCTTAGCCAAAAGGCCAAGAAGCGATAGGTTTTAAATTCTGAAAAAAAAAAAAAAAAAAAAAAAAAAAATAGTTTTCATCAAGGAAGGAATGCAATGGAAATGAAAGCATAACTAATGAAAGTAAAAATGCCTTACTAAAACAAATTTGTTTATCATGGATTTGACATTGCTAATAACTTAAAACAGAGTGGTCTTAAAAGATATGCAAAGAAATGCCAAAAATAAGTGACTTCTTGATTGTATTCAATTAAGAAAGATTTAAAATGTTTTACATTTCTCTAGCCTTTTGTGAAATAACAGGTACTTCCTTTCCAGAAACTGCACAGAACACCTGTAATGTTCATGTTTATATATATCATGGTGACATAGATAGCACAGCTGTAACCTAACTTGGCAAGTGAAGTAGTTTCCAGTGCATGAACAAACCTTTCTTTTAAGACAATGTCTAAGACCATCACTCAAATAATGAACAAATAAAATTTCTCCTAGTAAATAAAATGTTCTGTAACACAAAAGCCTACTACAGTTCTCTAAGTAAAAAGATCCTACAGAAATTAAATGTGTAACTAGTGCAATAGTACAACTACAGTTATTAAAGGGAAACAACAGTTCACAAAGCAGTTTTGAATGGTTCATTGCAACTTGGAATTAATTTCAGTAATAGTCTAGTCTGTTGCTCTTTATTAACAAATTATTCTGTACATTTTTATATTTTATCATTTCAAAATACACAATAAATGTCATCTAATTTTGGAAAACCTGAAACAGTTTGAATTTCTAATTTATAGCAAAAAATGTAATACATGAATTAACAAAATGCTAAATGATTGTTTTTATGGCATATAAATACCAATATGTGAAAGAGAGCTTTCTTCTCTCTTAAAAAAAAAAAAATTGAAACCACACACAATATTTCTACTGTATTAGAATTTTAAAATTTCCTTTTTGATGTTCTGTAAAAAATAGTATTAGTTACATACCCTTTATCTGAATCATCATTTACATAATGCTTATAAATGCATCTCTTCTTCCAAACAGTAGTAGTGAGTGGCATATTAGCTTAAAGTTTTACTTCTTTTAGACGCAAAGAGATTTTATACACTTGGTGAAAAAATCAATACCATAAGATAATATACACCAATATTATCAGCTAACTATTATGACATCATTTCATACAAAAACAAAGGTATTTTTCAAAGTGGTTGGACACCACATCAGTGCTAAAAATATTATCTCCAGTATAAAAAACTCTATCAGGAGCCATTGCTGAATAGTCATCAAAATTCATGTTGACTATTTATACTAATATACTATTTATAGTAACAAGGAAATCAGTATATATATGATTCATGGGAATGTCCTGGGCAATAATTATGAACTAATAGTCTGCAGTGCTAGATATGCTAACCATAAAGTACAAAGCAACATAGTAAATAAGAAAATGATTAAATACTGTATGTTGGCAAAGGGAAACGAAGTGCTACATAAATGCTCGCTACTATTAGCCTCACTAGAAGGAAGGGTAATTAGGAATATATGATATAGTAAATTTTTCAGAGCACTATGGTTCTAAATGGAAGTACTAGATACAAAGTGATATATTTGTCACTTAACTATTTAATCCACTTCTCTTTTTGGCATCATTTTTCAGTTTTACTTCTGTGTTCTTGAAAGTTTTTGTATTACATGTCAAAGAATATGTTTTGAAATCTGGTACAAAAGAACAGGTGTACACACACACACATACACACACACACAACTTCCCAAAGTCTTCCTATTCAGAAATTTACTTGCACTAAAACAAAAGAGAGTACCAGATTCACTAGAAAAGCATACTTAAATATATTTGATCAAACAGAAAAGCTTGTCATTCTTTTTAAATACAGTTGTTTCAAAAAATGGAACTATAACCTACAATTATACATTCTTCCTAAGCATTTTTACAATTTTACTCTGCCTTGACACATTTCCTTAAAGAGTACCAAATATCCATGAAGTGATAAGCAGCAGAACAGAACAGTTAGCAGTTACAGAACAGATAGCTCATTTTCTAAGGTTTGGGAAAATAATACAGTAATTTGAAATTAACTAGTGTACACATTCACTATTTCATTTAAAGGAAGAAAAGTAATAATAACCATTAAACAGAGTGAAGCAATATCTATTTTTGAAATATATGCTGTGGAAAAGAATTGCCTAATAATTTTACAACAACAGAAAGGTTGGCTAAGATAGTCTATGCTACGCCAATCTATCCTCTTTTCACAACTCATTTTTCTGCTTGCTTCATGCAAAAACCACAGTCTGTCAAAAGTCAGTTTAATACCTCCACAGTGGGGGGTAGAGGGTGGTGGGAGGAGGAACATCAACATTTAATGAAATCTGTAATAGAGGCAAAAGTAAGAAAAATCATCTTGAACTTTTGCCACATTTATCACAAAGCTGTTTTTCTTACTCTTTCAGGGTATAACAGCTTTGTGTAAAATATGCAAATATTAATTCTCTAGGAGGGGTTAGTTTGCATGTTGAAAGTCATTGTCTCAACCTAAAATTGAACATACAAAACTAAAAAAGCTGACAACTAGTTTCTCTTTTAGTGATTAAATTTCAAAAGCACTATGTGTATATTCTTTATATACTTAAATTTTAATCTTTTTAGTTTATTTTGGATTATATGCTACATTCATCTGAAGTAGGGTTGTTTTTAAAATTTTAAGCTTTGAAGACACTTCAAATTGGTTTTAAATTAAAATTGAAAAGCTGTTCATACAGTATAAATACACAGGTTTACAAATGTATCCTTCCAGACAGCTGTCTATTTTTTTCTACTAAATCTGAACAACAATGCAGATAGTACTTTACTTTGAAGACAGGTGTGGTGGCAAAACTCCAATATCTAGGAAATGTTTGTTGAAACCAAATGTCTGTTGTAAAAATTAAACCCAGTAAAAAAGAACAAATTAAAAAGAAAACTTGAAACAAATTAAGATTCAAGGTCTCTGAAGTTCAGGTATCTTAATATTCTCCTAACACAAATCCTAAAACACCTTACATTCCTGTGATTTCTAGTTAGTAAAAGCTAAGAAATGAGGAGCCCAAGGTAACATAGGAGAAACTCAAACATGATTTCTAGGACTCCAGATATTTCTCTGAAGCCAAGACAGTGAGGTGAGGCATCAGGAAGAAATATTACTGTTAAGATAAATTTTTACAATGTGGTAAACTACTAGAAACCCCGTCTCCCCCATTAGTTCATGGCTATTACAAAATTAAAATCTAAAATCAGTTATAACAAGTTTATTTTGTAATATTTAATCAGAATTATTTGATTTTGTGTGTGTGCATCTGTGTGTGTATCTCCCAATAAGAAGCTCAAAATTGAAACCTAGTCCTTGGTTCAAACCACTTATCTAGGAATATGTTATAGCAAAAGTAAACTTACCTCAATGCACCTTGGGTTTCTCCAAATTTTACCTCCTTTATTTTTAGTGTATTTCCTTATTTCAAAAAGAAAATGTGGTCTTGAGGCCACTGAAATTCTCACTTTCCAAATGAAAGACTAACCCCCTGGCACCTATCCTCTCCTCTTTGCATCTAGTGTTAAAGGAAGGGGTGCTCTTCTGTTCAAGAAAATCCCACACAATCTGTTCCCTGGTGGATTTCCTAAAAGCTCGTCCAAATTCTAGTTTCAATTCTCTATTGGCTGTTACTCTACAAGTTATAATCCTAGATCTTTCTAATGAGTACAAAAACAGAGAGCAAACAAGTGAAAATTCACACTGACTCCATAATTACCGTAAGCTTCACTGAAAGGTTAAATCCTTGAAAACTGGCACACAACTGCTATCCATCTCCCTCAACAGTTCACTTTCACCAGCTACAGAACAGCCTCCTCCATTAGAACATTCAGTCAGAGGTCCAAGTTACTTTGGACTTCAAATGATGAAAGAGAGTGGATTTATTTAGGCCGTTGAGACATCTGACACTGGCTCCCTCTCTTCTCTTTGTGGAACACAATTTTCTGTTCATCCTGCCATTGCTAGAGCCCCTCCTTCCCTCACACTATATGGTTACCCTGGGCAATAACATTTCTTTTTATATTGTCACCTACCTTCTATGCCAATGATATTTCTTAAATCTGAAACTCTTCTGATCCATAAGACAGAAGTAAACTAACCTTTTGTTTGTGGCTAACTAAACGAACCACTATTTGTTTCCTCAGGGAAAGCTATCACTATCCACCACCCAGTTGCCCTGCCAGAAAGATGGGAATGGTCCCGGACTGTTTCACACAAAGCCAGTTACCAAGCCCATGTGATGTTCCAGCCTTTGCTCCTGCTCTTTCTCACATTCAGTGCTTTGGTTCAGGTCTTCCCTGCTGCTTGAAAACTGCAATAGTCTCTGATTCATTCCCTTATCTCTCCTCTGCTTCTCTAATTCTTTTTGTATAGTGCTACCAGGATGGTTTTCCTAAAATGCTAATTTTATTGAGCAACATAAAACCCATCATCCATTATCTGATAAAATCTGTATTTCTTAGCATAGACAAACCTTTTATAATTTAAACAATATAAAAAGCTCTCCAGCCATCCCTAGTTCTCCAACCTTATGGCTCCATCTCCTTTGTTTCATCTCCAACAAACTGCATCTAGTTCCCACACAAGAGTTCATGCTACTCTCATTTCCTGGAATGGGCTCCCTTCCTGGCTCTATTTCCTGGTGGATGCCAACTCCTTTTTTCAAGCTTTAACTCAAGTATTACACGATGTGTGAAAAGCCTAACAGACTCTTCCAACAGAACTTACTTTGTCTACTAGGTCCCATAGCTTCTATTTACAT